GATAATCGTTTTCTGCTGCGACTCCCACACATATGGGCGGACAGGACGCAGGACTAATAGAAACAGCTGGACTGAACAGGTTCTGAGCATTACATGTAGCAAAGGTACAGTTGTTGTTACTCCGTGGTCACATTCGAGTGTAAAGGCAATCTGTACAGTCTCCAGTCTGTCAGCTCTGTGCCGCCATAGTGCAAAGATGTCTGCCTCCATACATTCCAGAGACCCACTCCTTTGTAATTATAAAAAAACGATTTCTAAGGCAAAGCAGACATAAAGATTGAGAAGTTCTGTTCTGATGATTTTAAATAACATACTAATGTATATGTAACATTTCTGTCAGTAAATCTAGAAATTCTTACACAGCTTTAAATAATACTTCAACTTTAGAATCATAAATGTTAAGCATCTTGGTTAAGTGGCATTTTGAGGAGCTGAGAAATATTTTTACGTACTTGAGCTCAGATTCTTCAAGGTAGCCACTATTGTCACCATCAAGGATCTTGAACACCTCTCGCACCTTCTCTGGAGGCGTTGTGGACAAGCCACATATCTTGAAGAACTCCTTATGCTTGAATGAGCCTACAGCTTTTCAAACAGACACACACATACATATAAACATCATAAACACACGCAAAGCAAGGTAGAGACAGGACTATGACCCTGAGAGTCACCTAGCTGGGGGCTGTTGGTGAGATTATACCAGCATGTGGCTGTTTTTCTTTTTATTTTATAGCTTACAGCCACATAAACTGTGCAAAACAAAACAAAATAATCTTTTTAGATTCTAAAATTAAGTCAAGAGCAGCTTTAGCTGGGAGGATATAGTGAAAAATAATGCTGCTGTTATCAGGGTTATACATTGATATGATGGAAATTATCTGTTGAACACTATATTAAATATATTATAGCATAAATCTGATCTGGTAGGGGAAACTGCATTGAATTAGTAACATATTGATATTAACTTAAGTCTAAATTCAACAAAGGGTTGTTTTTCTACCTTCAAAGGTGTCGACTGCCTTCTTAATGTCCTCAGGTTTAAGAATGTTGGTGAGTGACATGATGATCCTGTAATGTAAAAAAGACAGATTGTACTTTATGAACAGGACAACACAATCTCTGGCTCTGAAAGACACAGGAATATCATCGTTATTTATTTTTTTCTGACTCGTGCTTTAGGTGTTTCCTTTAGATCCATTTTGGTGTCACAATGGATTAACCTCTCAGTTGTATCTAGGTTAATATCATGATCGCATAACAATTCCTTTAGTGTCTGTTTAAAAAAATGAACACAAGTACAAATATGTATTTCAAATAGAAATAACAGTTATTTTAAATTCATAATTAATCTTCTTTTTTTCAATAATTCTGTTTGAATTCATAATAACTTTATGTTTTTTTGATTACATTCTCTCCAGCAGCTTATTAAAAAATGTAATGTCTGTACAGAATATTCCTGGTTTTGATGGTGCAAATAAATTACAAGCATGCAAAAAAGCCCAACAGAAAAATTAAACGAGGAAGCTGAATTCTCTGAGTTCTAACCATGCAATGTGCTTAAAAAGATTTAATGAATCCATCCTGCTAATAAAGACTTAGTAGAACCTAATAAAGTTCCTAGTGTTTTAAACCTGAATGCAAAGAATGACCGTCATCTTTAGAGTGGCATGCACTTAATCAACAGCTTACTGAAAGAAAAAAAAGACTGGTCTGGTCTGGTCTGTCCTTTACTATAATTTCATAAAGTTTTAGTGTATTCTCAAGAACGGACATAAATTACATGCATTTTTAACATGCGCTGAAGTTTAATATGCCTCAGCTAAAGCTCTGTGAAGCTGTGGGACTCCCCACTGGCAGCCCTTTTAAGTCCAGCTCCAACACAGCAGCAACAGCAGCATTAAAAGTCTGATAGCTGCTGACAGGTTTCTCATATATTTTACTCACAATGTTCAGATGGATGCCTGAGTTTCTGATGCGTCTGTAGATCAAATTCTCCTGCAAGCACAACAGACTGCTTCTC